TCCTTCCCGTTCATTTCTTATCTCCCCGCCTTTCAATCTTCCTTCCCACCCAAGGCTCAGCTCTCCCCGACCCCCATCGGTGATTCGCTGCACTTGACATGTGCTATCACTGAGCTGCGTGTTATCGTCGCTGGGATGTTGGATGGAACATGGAGGATGGATGATTCCCCTCGGCAAGCACGTTATAGTGTTGGGGAGAGTCGCGGTATAACACGTGTGTCACGGTACCATCCAGCATGCGTCCGGTCTTTTCTCCCGTCCTCAAACATCAAGCTTAGCAGAACCAAGAGGAGGAAGGGACTTGTGAAGGCGGAACATCCGATTGCTCCAAGTTATCGTACTAGCCGGCCATGCCGCCTTCCGTGTAACAACATGAACCCGTCTTGGGAGGTCGAGGAACCTTGATGAGCCATCCGGCTTGGAGGTGGTGTCGCAAGTACTTGACTCCCAACTCTCCCAACTCTCCCAACTTCTTCTCGACAGCTCGATACCTGATCGATTTTTGTTTTCTTCCTTTTGTCCTCCTGTGTCCTCCTGTCTTCCTTTTTGTCCCCTTCTCTATATACCTAATTACGACCTCACTGTTTGTAACAACGGTCCTTTCCCATCCATGACCGCACTGCTTCAAGACGCCAATCTTGGAAAAAGGGGAGAAGTCCGGGAAGGGGACTGAGCGACAAGTGGAAACATCAACGGCAACGAAGCTGGCACTAGCCAGTGCCATCCCGTCGTGTTTTGTACGAATCGTTGAAGTACACACACGTATACCGAGAGACAGAACGACAGTAAGACAGCAATCATGATTCGCAACGTCGTCGTCCTGAGCGGTAACTCGCACCCAAAATTCGTCGACAGCGTCTGCAATTACCTGGGCATACCACCGGCAAGCCGCGTGCTGGAAAAGTTCTCGTCGGGAGAGACACGCTGCGAGATTAGGGACTCAATACGTGGGAAGGACGTATACATCATCCAGTCGTTTGGGGTGGGAACTAACAGAAACGCGACCAACAATAACAACAACAACAACAACAACAACAACACCGATGGATCTTCGACTTCAGCTACAGCGGAAACAGGCCATGTCACTGTCAACGACTACTTCATCGAACTCTGCATCATGATATCGGCCTGTAAGACGGGATCTGCTCGCAGGGTCACGGCCGTCCTGCCGTTCTTCCCTTACTCCCGCCAGCCAGACCTGCCGTATACCAGCACCGGGGCGCCATTGGTGTCTAGAAATCACGATGCAGTGACAATGACAGTTAGGGAAGGCCAAGGGAGTGTCTCGTATACGTTTGAGAGCGTCCCGCCTACCCCGGCCGCACACATCCCACGAACTGCCGGTCTGGCTAACGGCATGTCTAAGCTCGCTAATGGCCTGTCCAGCAGCAGCAGCAGCAGCATCACCCGTGGCAGCGACATCCGCGACATGGCTAAGGTGATGGTGACGGGACCGGCAAGCGACGCTGGTAGTAAGTCGTTGGGGGAGAAGCAGCCCCAACAGCAAAAGGCAAACGACAAGTTCACCACGCACGACTTCGAGAACCCGGCCATGGCAATGGCGTTCCAACAAAAGGTCGGGTTTAAGCCGATGATGGCGCAGGCGGGATCGTTGATTGCGGATTTGCTGACGTGTGCGGGAGCGGATCGGATTGTTACGTGCGACTTGCATGAGAGCACGTATCAGGGGTTCTTCGATATTCCCGGTGAGTTTGATGTCCCAGCACGACTGCGTTTCCCGTTCCGAAGTACACACCCATCTAACTGGGAGTCATCATAGTCGATAACCTCATCGCCAGACCGCTCCTCAAGCGATACATCCAGCACCACATCGAGAACTACAAGGAAGCCGTCATAGTCAGCCCGGACGCTGGCGGGGCTAAACGCGCCGCTGCCATTGCCGACAGTCTAGGTTTACAATTTGCTCTTATCCATAAAGGTTAGTTCATTCGTGGGGAGGAGGCGCGAACTCACGTCTTCATATCCGTAACCACTGTACTGGATTATATCCAGACTCGTCCCTTCGAGACGCATGAAAAGAAACTGACGCTTGTCTTCCTCATCCTCATAGAACGACGCCGACCGTCCAAAACCCACACAAACTACCCAGCCATGATGCTTGTTGGCAACGTTGCCAACCGCATCTGCATCTTGGTAGACGACCTCGCCGACACGGCCAACACCATCACACGCGCGGCCAAGCTGCTCAAGCGCGAAGGGGCCGTCCAAGTGGTTGCGCTTATCACGCACGGCGTGTTTAGCGGCGACGCGATACAAAGGATTAATGCGTCGGCGCTGGACCGGGTGGTGGTGACGAACACGGTGGCGCAGGATCGACATCTTGAAGCTTTTGGGGCAGCTAGAGCCGGGGGGACGAAGGAGCTGCCGGACAAGAATAAGAATGATGTGGACCCGAGGGTGGTTTGTGGGAAGTTGGAGGTGTTGGATATTGCGCCGTTTTTTGCAGAGGCGATTAGAAGGATTGTGTTTGGGGAGAGCATCAGTATGCTGGTCCGGGATGGGGATTAAGGGGTGGGAGGAGATGGAAAGTAGGAAGATGTAATTGACCTGGGAGGGTGAGGTTAACTTGTACAGTATAGATGGCCAGATGGCGTTTTCTGTCTGCGGCTGCTTCTTTTACTCACAATCTGTATTTCCATGACGAAGTTTACCTTCTACCAACAAGATCGCAAACACGCATCCTGCACTCGATTTGAAGCGACTCCTGAGGTGGAAGTTGACCGGTATGTATCGTGTGTACTTGGGCCTAAAATCCCTGCCGTGGGGCAAGAATCAGCACGTTCGATCCATGTTGCCCTTGTCTGAAGCCACTTGACAACCCTGGGGTATTTTATCGTCTCATGTGAAGACGGACGCAAGCTGGAATCCATGCTGGTGGGGGAAGCCTAAAATTGTAGTGTAATGTACAAAGTTGCCGTTGTTTTTTAGTCGGTTGGGAGTGTAATGATACTTGAATCTATATGTTTGTAGTTTCTTCGGCACAGCCTATGATTTTGCGAGAGAGGGCACAAAACAGTGGTAGAACGACAGCGGACGAGAATTAAGACATGGTACGTGATACTTCGCAGAATACATTCCAGGCGCTTTGCTACAGCCCAGTCCTTGACTTTTGGAATCCAGATGTCAGGTTCTGAACTTTCCCCAATCCGTCTTCGAACGTCGAATGGTAGCCCGGTAGGTAACATCCATGCTGCAGGGATGGTAAGAGAAGAAAACATGCTGTTGTCTTCGATTTTGCACGCTGACGTTCGTTGTTTCCATTCCGGGGACGCGTCGCTAACGCGAAAGGACGCGCTGAAAACGCCTTTGAACGCGGTGGTAAAAGAGGTTTCATGTTTGTTCTGGCGGGGTCGGCTCACTGCAGTGTTGCCCCCCTCACCCTCTTCCCCCTGCAGATTACGGCCCCGCTTGTAACTTCTAGCGATGTTGAGTGAATCTCATTCGTCTTCTCCCTGGGGCAGTAAACACCATGACGGGTTGACCTGCAAGTCTTCTACGAGAAGTGCGCTATAACACACCCTGCTCCCTGCTCTCACAAGAACCGGGATCACAGCAGTAGGTAAACAAAAAGTGGCATATCTGCAGTGCCGGTGCAGGAGGCAGGGCCAAATGCAATGAGGCGGGACTGAACCAGCGAGCGAAGGGATGAGGGCCTGCGTCAAGGTACACTAGGTTTGTAACCGTCAGCGTTGGGCCTGGGGTATGAAAACAACAAAGACAACAACAACGTTGAACAAGAAGAAAAACTCACTGCATTCTCTTCAGTCAGCAGGGGGAGGGGAGTAGATAGAAATAAGGTGATGCAAACGAACGACAAGCGGCACCCCACATGTCAAGATGGAAATATGGCAGCGCGGGAAGTGAAAGTAGATAACTACCTAACATCTGTATTACCTACATACCACCTACCACGTTACCCAGTTGTGGTCCAGTTTACTCATGTTATGTAGTACGAGTCCTTTGGCCCCATGTGATGTTGGCTTTGATGCAGCATTCTTTACTTCTAGCCGGGGTCCAGCCAGTCAAGTCCTTGGGGACAGGGACGGAAGACTGCTGGGTCAGGGCACATAAAAGTGTAAATTTCACTTGGTCGTATGGGTAACGTAATGAAGGTCGATGTTTGGACCCGCTTCCCGCAACATCGAAGAGAAGGGTGGACGAGAGTTTCGCGATTCCTTGGACTGGATTTGACTAAGGGCCAGCGCTGACCGGGACAAGTAGTGTACACTAGAAGAGATGGGAGGCAATGGCGGGTCCAATGTTTTGATGGCCTGTGCGCGACAAGGCCGTTGCAGTGCCCGCTTGACCCAATGCGGCTAGTCAGCGGCCTGGCGCGACTGGCTCTGTCTGGCTGCCGCGACTCCGTCAGTCCGTCAGTTGAGTGGTGAGGGAGTGTCAATCAACGCCCGCTCCCACCCACCCACCCACCCATCCACCTGCCGTCCACCCCCTGGGGCCTACCTTTTCCAGAGATTACCTCGACTTTACAACCACCACCAGGCGACACCAGGTTCCAACATTCAACCTCTGATCCCGATACCTTGCCTCCGGTCCAATCCATCGCCCGCCGACTCCGCCCACAACTTCAATGCTATCGCCGTTTCAACGTTGACAAGCCGGTTCCGACGCGCAACCCTGCTGCACCACCTATGATCGCCGAAATCAATACTGCGGACGAAAGAAGGCCACCCCCCGGAATTACCACTCGTTGACGTCCACCGTATTGAAACAAACATCGATAGCTTCCGTCTTGCGCTGCGCATGTGGGCATAGTCACATTCTCTCTTCACGGCGACAACACCCGAGATCACGGCGAACAACTTTTAATTTTGCGACGACCGGCGCCGCAGCCCGCCTAAAGCAACTGTAGTCCCTGTCAGAGTACAGGAAGTAGTCTTTCACTGCAGCGCATTGTCGATCCGTTCACCACCGCCGCTTTTTGCCATACCTGTCTGCCTTCCCACCGGCTTCTCACCCCATCAGACTTGGGACGACATCAACAAGTGCGCCAAGGACGAACGATTAGATAAAACCGGCACGTGCTGCATCTACCCTATCACGACCTCGTCGCCGCCGCCGACTTGGGCATATCCCTCCCTCTAAGCAAACGAAGCCAACCTAAGTCTGCCGTCGCACGGTTTCAAGAGACCATCCTCACCCGGTCTACTACTCACCCACTCCTCAACGTCAAATCAGCAACACAGGTTCCAACAGGTTTACCACAGTATTGAATCCCGGACTTAATCATGGTGACCACCGGCGACGTCTCCGGGCGCGCCGCACATTCGGCCGGCACCAAAAGGTCTAGTCATGAAACACGCAGCCAGGCAGTCCACCCATCAACAACGAGGGTAACGAGATCGTCGAGGCTGCAAACACCGCCTCCCCCGTCATCCGGAAACTCGCGCGAGGAACCACCGACGGAGATTGCCAGGAACCCACGGGCACCAACCAGAACTGAGAATTTTGTGAACAGCTTGGACGTCGAAGCAGTTGATAGCGCTTTGCGCCGGGAGATTCAGCAACGCCAAACTTCACCAGGGCCAAGTTCGCATAGGAAGCGACAACGCATCAACGGAGATAGGTATGTCCTGCTGGAGGTGGCATGTCTGTTGACTTTAGGATTGTATTTCTGACATCTAATCAGGTTTATTCCCACCCGGTCCGGTCAGGATTTGCAAGCCAGTTTCAGTCTTTTGCATGAAGAGGGCTCTCCGGCGACGCCTAGACAGAAAAGGCGCACACCACAGGGGGAGCTTCATTTTCAGAAAAGTAGGTATGGTCCAGCCTTATCCTGGAGTGCCTTTCTGACAATCTCGCAGCCGAGGAAGCAAACCGTACGTTCTCAACTGTGCTTCGATCAGAATTGTTTGAGAGTACTGTCCCACAGATTGCCCCCGAGTCTTTATCACCAGACCATAGGAGAGCATCGCGGGGTTATCTACATGAGGGTACAAGGTCTCAGACGCCTCCTCGGAATGGGCTCCAAGCCGCGGCAGCACCGACAACCCTTACCCCCTCTACACCTCACAAGAACCTGTTCTCGTACCTATCACCACGACATGCTAGCCTTGGCGGCCATCCAACGCCATCAAGGACGCCACAAAGTCGACATGGCATCAACCTGGACACCCGGGCCGAAATCTACAGTCTCTCACCCATAAAACATAAAAGCCAACAACTTTTACTGAGCCCGCGAAAGCAGCCGCGCGCCATCAGCAAGGTACCATTTAAGGTGTTGGACGCCCCTGAGCTGCTAGACGACTACTACTTGAATCTAGTCGACTGGGGGAGCGCCAATGTCCTGGGCGTTGGTTTAGGATCCAGCGTCTACATGTGGAATGCGCAAACAAGTAGAGTCAACAAGCTGTGCACGTTGGAGGACGACACGGTGGCCAGCGTATCTTGGATACAAAAGGGGACACACCTTGCTATTGGTACCCATAAAGGACTGGTGCAGATCTGGGATGCTGAGAAAGCAAGAAGGCTAAGAACGATGACTGGCCATACTGGCAGGGTTGGAGCATTGGCATGGAACACTCACATTCTCACGTCAGGGTCCCGGGATCGCCTAATATACCATCGCGACGTCCGAGCGCCAGATCAGTGGCTAAAAAAGCTGGTTGGTCACAAGCAGGAAGTGTGTGGTCTCAAATGGAATTGCGACGATGGCCAACTTGCCAGTGGAGGAAACGACAATAAGTTGATGGTTTGGGATAAGCTTTCCGACACACCTCTATGGAAGTATTCCGGTCACACAGCAGCCGTCAAAGCGATAGCCTGGTCACCACATCAACGCGGTCTCCTGGCTTCCGGAGGCGGTACTGCTGACAGACGCATCATCTTTCACGACACCGTTCGCGGCACGGTACTCAACGAGGTGGACACGGGCAGTCAGGTCTGTAACATTGCCTGGTCCAAGAACTCCAACGAAATTGTCTCGACGCATGGTTATAGCCAGAATCAGATAGTAGTTTGGAAGTACCCCTCCATGACGCAAGTCGCCAGCCTGACCGGTCACACTTATCGGGTGCTGTACCTTGCCATGAGCCCGGACGGCAAAACCGTGGTGACGGGTGCCGGAGATGAGACATTGCGGTTCTGGAATCTCTTCGGCAAGAGCCCGAGGAAAAGTGTCCACGACCTTGATGGAGGCGGCAGTGGACGGTCGGGCGACTGGGGAGTCATTCGATGATGACGTGAAGGATAAGGAGCCCGCAACGGGCGGGAAGGCACTTGGCCCATGGACTGAAAGAAGGCGACCGAAGATCGAGACCGCCAGCAAAGAGCAGCCGTCGAGAAAGATTGCCATGATCATACAGCGTGTATCACTCAGCTGTTTGAGCTTGATGCTCCGGCATCTTACCCTGTTCAACTTTGATGGCATCGATCTCGTAAAAGGCATCGGACCTTCTCTTGTCCTGACTATGATGTGTGCGCAATCTATACAACACGCCATTTTCTCACATTGCTCTCACCACCTAGAGCTTGACATACACTTTTGTTTTTTTTAATCTTTTATTTGCTCTTTAAGATCTAGGGGCTCAACCCACCAGCGACTGCTCTTATGTATTTTCTCTTCTTTTTCTTTCATCCTCTGATCATGTGGTATCTGAGATTAAAGCGCGTCGATTTGCTTCTCGGACCAAACAGGCGTTTGTGGTGGGTGGGAAAGACTGGAAAGGCGGGCGGGCGTGTTTAAATTGGCTAGCATGCATTGGCACGACATGGCATGGACGGATGGGATTTGAATTGTGGCTTTTTGTCGCACCGCCAATCAATCAATCTACTTGGCTTTTGTTTTGCTTTGTTTTTGTCACTTCAAGGCTACAGCGAGGAGTAGGCGGATATGGGATATGGTGGATCTGTTGGAAGGGTTCCCAAGGCGGTTGGTCTTATTGATGGGCGGGTAGACAGTCAGACGCTATCACAGCGGGGTGTAAAGAACAAGTTCCTGAGATGGACTAGACCTCTTCAAAAGTTGGGATGAAAGAAAACAGGGAAAGGGAACGCTTGCATTGCATTTCGTACATAGCGAATACCACTATACCACTTTTTGACTTGGTTATAAACCGATCATTTACGACCATCTGTCACTACTTCGTTTCATCCTTGACTTGTCTCTTTCATTGCTTACGATACAAAAGACATCTCGCCACAGAACATGGCATCCAGCTCAAAGGGGGATCGCTGACGGAGGACCGATGGACAAGAGTCCCATTGTGTCTCCATCACTCTCGTCACCCAAACCCTTCGAGCTTCGAGGATGGTGATGGACATGAAATATCTATGGAGCGTCGAAGATCTATAATACGGTGAATAAATACTTCCTGCCTTTACAGAGACGAAGTGACACCTGTTTCGAATGCCTAAACACACATGTTCACTTCACAGTTGTATCACTCGAAGTCTTATTAGTTTCTTTAGCAATCTTCCAGCGTTTAACTGCCAACAGTCACACTTAGGTAGGATAGCCGCCTTCACAGTATTTCCACCCCCCCCCTTTGTAGCGCTTTCCCTCCTCACTTGACACTTCTCCCGCCGCCAACAGCTCCTTCCACTGTCATCACAATCTCTCTATTTACTACTTCCCGCTTCCTCTTCGCTTAATACCCTAGACTGACGTCGTTATTACCAACCAACCCTGTAAAGGCCCTCGCCTTGAAGTAAACATAGTAAAGATAACTTAACTCCTCAAATGCTACTTCAGCGAAACAGCTACTCTACTATTATTCACATTCATCTATGTCACACCTGTCATTTCCGAGAAGAAACCTTGTGTGATAAATATCACAGAGTTCAGTCCAAACTGCTTCTCGAATCTCGAAGAAAGAGAGATAGAGAGAGAGAGAGAGAGAATAAGGGGGAAAAGACAACGTGACACTCATGATGTTTACGTAACAACGCAGAAATCACACACCAAAATAGCGGATAGAAACTAAAACCGAACAACAAAAAGAAACCAACCTAAGAAGGGAGGAGAACAGGTACTTCACTTGATCAGAAAAGGTTTTAAAAGACAAAAAAGAAGAAGTCCAAAAAAACATACAACACCAGGGATTCGCTGGTCGTCACCGACCCAACTACTAGTCTGGCGATTGGTAGCTTATCTATGGGAGAGCGGACGGGATCCCGAGTTTTCTACCATCTATGGTCGTATGTGATGAGTTGTAGCCAGGTAGACAATTATATGCGCTCTTGTTCATTTGTGATTCGTGATCTCTCTCTATCTCTATCTCTATCTCTCTCTCTCTCTCTCTCTGTGTGTGTGTGTGTGTGTGGAAATAGTCTTGATGCGTGTATAGTGGCACCGATGTGTGCCTATTGTGAATGAGTAATTTTTTCTTTCTTTTCTTCTTCTTCTTCTTTTTTCTATTCTTTCCCAAGAAACACATAGAACCGATGCCGTGGTAGGCACTCGCTTTGATCATCGCAATGATGGCATCGTGTCCGCTCAGCCAATTAGCTAGTTTCGTCCACATCATGCCTCGATACCTTTGTGCGGAAGGGTACGAGGTGTTACACTGTACCAGTACTATTGTATATATATAATCTCCGTTGTCTCCAAATGCTAAATCGCATGATGTATCTTAGGCGTCCAAAAGTGTGGGTATTCCAACAAACAAGCCCACATGCCCCTTATGAGAAGCCCAATCTCGTAGGAAAACGCCCTTCCAAAACCCATCCACCCTTGTCATCCTTGTGATCGCCATAAACGCCAGATTCCAACTGTGTAAACCCTCAAAACAACCAATCAGACTAGCCCCTGCAGAACCAAACCGCATGCCAGAAAGCCTTGAAAAAGATATCATGGCAGCTATGCCAGAAAAACTTTGAGTATCATGGCAGCAAGGGCGATGGATAGAACTACAATTAATCGGTCGATCCAGAACGTCACCTCGTCGTTACTCACCCTAACCTGCCGTGGGTGACGATGCTGCATCATAGGCTGGGGGTGGGGATTAAACTGTGAAGGCAGAGGGATCGTCCTCGTCGGCTGTGGCACACCCTGCCCTGGTTGCGCTGGAGTCGAGGAAGATGAAGTAATCCCTACCGACCTAGGCTGTGGCGTAGGTGGTAAAGGCGCCGTTTGTACGAAACCTTCGGCCAGCTCTGCACTTTCAGCATCCTCCTCGTCTTGTTGCGCCCCAGATCTCGACGCCGCCGCCGCACCGCTACTGTTTTTGTCCATCTCGTCCCGCCACCCCATCTTCAAGTCGCTCGGCACCTCTACCTCGGCCTGACCTTCCCCTTGGTGTTCCTTGGCTGCCTCCTCACACTCCCAGATAATCTCCTCGTTTGTCTTCCCGCAGGCCTGACACTTCCACGCCCTCGACTCGGTCGCCATCCGCCTGCGCACGGCTTCGGTCGCGTCAAGACCGCCCAGCTGCCCCTTGGGGTCTGTCTCCATAAAGGAGCGCAGTGCGACCAGGGCGGTGCGTACTCCCCAGGCGGGCTGCCATGTCTCTTCGTGGTGGCCGCTGATGGAAAGACAAATCTCGCGGTTGGCTTCGAAGCGCCCGGAAGGTGTGACGAAGCGGAAAGATGGAGGTCGTAGCGGGTAGGCTTGTGGGAGAACGATGCGGCCGTGGTAGATGCCGTCGGCGTAGACCGAATTAGGAGGCCCGCGGAGGGTGAAGTGCCACTCGAAGAGGTCTGATTCGAGCGGAGTGGCTGTGTAATCGGGGGAGGGCGAAGCGGAGAGTTCTTGGGCTTCGCGGACTATAATGGGTTGAGCAAGTATCAGTCCTGGTGTCTAGCAGTGAAGAAGAAAGATGATGTTGATGGTGATGCTGAAACAACTTACGGATGCGACGGATGGTGGGCGACTTGGAGTTGAACTTTGGTGTTGCCATTTTGCTGGTACTTTCGCTATTTCTTTGGTGCTTAATGATGTTCCTAAGTGACGAGATGGTCAAGTCCGGTATTTGGGTCGCCCGGAAGTTGTGCAACTGCTTCCGGCAGCGGGCAGTTCCTGGTGGTAGAAGTATCCGTGGCCAGGCGTCAAAAGGTTATCTCTGCGACTCGAGATCAGGACTGCTTTCTTGAGGATGGATTCAGCAAAACTATAATGAAGATGTCACACAAGATGCACAAGAATATACAATACGTATTCAAGGTATAGGTGATGGAAGTTGTGGTATGTGGACCTCATGTAGAGGTAGGAGTTAAAGTTTGGTTGCGCTTTGCGACCGCGGTCACTGTAGCCAGAAAGTGGTGAAGAGCGCTGTGGTTGGGCGGCACAGCTGTATGTGTCTATGACAGGACACCTTGCATTTACCTACCTTCGTACCTCCGCCAACGGTCAGCCTCAGCTCCAAGTTCCCCCGCATTCAGGAGCCGCCTTCCGTCATGTCCACCAGGGCCAGCTTCCTTAGACTCCGATTGGTGTTGATCGTACCATGATCTCGAGCTCTTTTGAAGGTATTCTAGGTAATTACAGGAAGCAGCAGGTTGGGGCCTTCAACATAGACTATCAAACTGAAGAGAACAAGTTCAGGAAATCGAGACGGACCTGGGACTGAACTGCACCGGGCCGCTGCCGGGACCGTCATCCGGACCGCCTACTGCGCAGTAGCGAGCTCTCGGGCGGGGTTTCAGTGGAGCGCCGGGTACTAAGGTGGTACGTACCGGGCGACATCATCACTGCAGCGACGCACGGACTATCCGTCTGCAGGCGTTTCGGCAACGGTTCGTAGAACGTACTTACTCCTGAATATTTCTCTTCATGATCACACAACCCTTTCAAGTGTCACCGCAACATCCAGCAATGGCCTTGGCCAGCAATCTAAGCTTTGATCATCAGGCACTGGATCACCAAGATCATGAGACTTTGCATATTTGCCCGCGAGTCAAAAACCAAAGGAAACTCGACGCCTGCTCGACCTGCCACTTTGATGGGAAGACCCCACCGTTTAATTTATAGTGGATCGCTGCAACTGCCAACTTACCCCGTTCACCCCTGACAATGGAAGTTGGACATCCAAACTCATTTCATCCGGTCGCATGATTGGCCTAGGAGCAGACAGAGTCAAAGGGCAGTTGAACAGTTGCAAACATGAAGCCCCCGAAAGCTGATACATTTGGACTTTGTAGTTGGTGAGCTGGATGCCGATCCTACCTCTATAACATGATACGTCAACGTCGTTGTCTTCATTTTTTTTTTTTTTTGTTGAAACGTGATGATAGCCGCAGTTCGCCAACGTTCGGCACCTCGACATGAAAATGCAACAGCATCCCAACGGGCATGCATGTCACAAGGGTTCTTTTGCTTCGATTTCGAGAACCAACAGTAGCTCTTGTTCTGATTGGATGTGAGGGTTGAGGCTGATTGCGGTTGGAAGCGCCCCCCCTGCATGGCTGTTTGCCATTCCGCGAGTCCCTTGGGCCACCGATGTTTGGACTTTCGACGACATCCACCCACATCCGCCAACTTTACTTTGATCATTCCTTTTTCCGAAGCAGCCTCTTGAGCTCCCCCGTCTCCCACGTTCCCCCCCTCCATTCTGTCCACGCCACCAGAGCCTGGACATTGCAGATTCGCACCTCGATATCCCCAGACGATGGACTGGCGATAGCCTCGATTCGCGATCACGGACTCTGTTCTAGATCCCCGACCCTCGAAACGAGCTTACCTCAACGCACGACTCGACCACGGTTCATCCGGCAGTCATTCTATCCAATAGCCCGACTTTTCGGGCCCATCGTTTACTTGACAACTCAAGATCGCGACTGCCTTCTACAGAGACATGATCCTTGATGGACGCAACGCCATACACAACGTCTTCCACCTCGACCGCCCTCGATTCCCCTTCTTCCTTATCCGCTACCATGGCGCGCCGCTGGGCCAGAAAACTCGAGCGTTACTGCTGCACATGCGTCACCTACTTTCCCCTCGCCTTCGTTTACACTATGACAAGCTGGGCCGTCTATGTCGATGTCTCGCTTAGTACGACCCCATCTCGCGTCACTTGGCTAGGTAGGTTGACCCTCTCCCCGGTTGTCAACATCGCTGTTGCGCCTGCTAACCTTATGCTTCGCTCCCCCCACAGGTCACTCCTATGGCTTCATCGCCGTCGTTCTCTACCTCCTCGCCAACTGGTGCTACACATACGCTGTCTTCACTTCGCCCGGGAGCACCACCAACGAGTATGGCTACAGTACCCTCCCTACACAAGCGCCCCCTACTGCCACCTCTTTCACCGTCAAGTCCAATGGCGAATTCCGATTTTGCAAAAAGTGCCAGGCACGAAAGCCCGACCGCGCTCACCACTGCTCGACATGCCGCCGCTGCGTTCTGAAAATGGACCACCACTGTCCGTGGCTTGCAACATGTGTTGGCCTGCGCAATCACAAGGCCTTTTTGCTGTTCCTCATCTATACATCACTTTTCTGCTGGGTCAGCTTTGCTGGTTCGGCATCATGGGTGTGGGAGGAGATTATGAGCAATACCACCTACGTCGAAACCCTCATGCCAGTCAACTACATTATGCTTTCCGTCATCTCTGGAATTATCGGTATCGTCCTGTCCGCTTTTTGCGGATGGCATATATACCTGGCTTCCCGTGGACAGACCACCATTGAATGTCTAGAGAAAACGCGCTATCTGTCTCCGCTGCGCGAATCGATGCAAAGGACTTACGTCAACCAGCATACGCCCGGCCAAGGTATTGCGCTGCCTAAATATGGTCAGCAACTACTGGACATCCACCAAAACACCATCCCAGGAGTCACACGACCAGAGGAAGGTGAAGAGATGCGACGGATGACGACTCCTTCGGGCTCATCGCAACGCAACGATCTTGCCTCCCAGCACAATCCCGAACTCCAGGCAGGCTCCCGCCGCTTCACATACGACGAAATGGAACACATACGCGCCCGTAAACGCTACGAAGATTACTTGGATGAGCAGGACTCGACCAAGCTGCCCCACGCTTTCGATCTCGGGACACCGCGCAACCTGCTGCATCTTTTCGGTACCAACGCCTGGCTATGGCCCTTCCCGGTATGCACCACCATCGGCGACGGTTGGAGCTGGGAGCCGAACCCGAAGTGGATCGAGGCACGCGATCGTATCGCTCGGGAGCGCGAAGAGCAACGGCAGCGGGAGCGACAAGCCGGATGGGGCCCAGCCGACGACGACGATATTACGCCTGTATATACACCTACATGGACGCCGCCCAACCACCAACAACAACAACAACCACAAGGTGGTGCGGGTCGTCACTACCTGCAGCCCTCCTCTCAGCCACAAACACAGCGCTACAGTAACTCCAGTAGCCCGTCATTCACCCCTTCACGACGCACACCCAGCAAAGCCGACCGAATCCTGGGCCGCGATCCCAACATGTACGCCGATGACGAACCAGTGATATATGGCAAACACGACGTAGCCATGAGCAGACTGAGTCCTGCAGGCCGTACTCTGGTAGTAGAAGACGACGTTGATGATGATGACGATGACGACGAGGACTACTTCCAAGATGCTGGCCGCAAACAGGAGGATGCGGAGCAAAGTGCCCTGAATGTGGTCACAAACGGGCGATGGGGTCGCTCTGCCGGCGCAAGCGGAGTGGGATTGCTTGCACATGGACGGCCTGGGGGAGCGAGGAGTCCCATTAGTCCTATAAGTCCTCCTGCTGGGGGATTTGGTGGGAGCGCGAGGAATGGGGAGGGAAGGTCGAATGATGATGGCGTGGATTGATGGAGAAGTGCCTGTGATCCCTGTTTCTTCTCTTCTTTCCTTTCACGTCCATCTCTTAATATCATCACACTACTTAGTTTCCCCGATTTGGCTTTAGCGAAACGTACCATACTATAGCGCAAAGTACTTCTTGGACAAACATCAACAATATATATACACGAAGTTTCCAAGCATTGCAGGCGTGGGTGAAAGGAGCAGGATCAGGTCGGTTCATGTGGCGTTGTGGTGTTTAGAGGAAGGCTTTTAGGTTACTATGTCGAGCAAGCCAAACGTTTACATGGGCTTGGCATTAATCTCAAGATGGGCGAATATACTGAGCCTGAGACTCTACCATACCAAGAGTCGCTCGCTATGAGTGAAGCACTTGTCCGTGTATTTGTTTACATGCCCCTGAACACCGGATCTTGAAACCAAAATTCGGCACACCAGTGCGCCTGGATTCATTGCTACCTAGGCAAACCACCAAAACCTGTGGCTATAGCCAAAACAGGGGTTGAATAAAAATAACGGCCATGAACAGAAATCAGAGTAACAACAGAAAGTCATGGTTGCGAGGCCAAACAACCAACCAAAGGTTGTGGTCACCACCGCCGCAAACCAATTTGAAAGAACTCCCAGTATGCTTGCATATATTATAGATAGTGGTAGTAGTTGCCTTGCGAGCTCATGTGATGCTCCAATGCACCAATATATATATAAATAAACATAAAAGTGAGAACCTGCCCGCCCACCTGTGCCTCGTAAAGTGTTAACTTTGATCTTTCCGGTTCCCTTGGTGTATTCGTGATAAACCCCCATGCCATGCTTTCCGTTGCCTTTTTTTTCTCTCTCCCCCATGTAATACCTTTTTTCTTTGCTCGTGGCAAAGTGTGATGCATCCTTGATATGCTCCGAAGAAATTAACATGAGTTCCTCCCATCCAGGATGTATGTCTGTCCCATGGATTCTCCCAGCCTCCTCGCCACCGCCGGACAAAAGGAAACTGATTCAGCGGCGCGAAGAGGTGCAAAATAGAAAACGATATCACTTTTCTCTTTCCCTGCTTTCTTTAAGCTAGCCCAGCCTTCTGATCCCTTTCTCTAAAGTTTGCCTCGCGCGATAAAGACCTCAAAAGCAGCCCTCTCGGTGTTGACGTTGCCGTAATCCAAACAGAAACCCGCTGCCAAACAAGAGTTAATGCATTATGATGAAAAGAAAGCAGAGACTTGATACACCAACCGTTCCAGTCCTAAATGCAACCCTAATGATAGAAGAGACTCTGTCCGATCGAACGACAAGGAAGAAATGACAACATCCTTACAAGAGAATCGGATCGAAACACTCAGCGCTAGATCTGGGAATGTTTGGAAATTGGGGGTATAGGTATATGTGCTAGATCACAAACAATGAGACAGTTGGAGAATGGAGCAGAAACATGCGGCTTCCCACACAAGATAAAACAGCTCGTGCAGTGCTCCGAGATAGTAAATGATACATGGTCGCCCGAGATGATCGAATACATCCGTAATAGACAATGGAAGACGAAATGGTGATATTGATACAGTACCGAAACGAACCGCATGAAAC